ACACCTGAAACTCTAAATTCACAACGAAAGCCTTGCGTGTGCTCACAAAACCAGAATTTCTTGCGCATTTTCTTTCTTCAGATTTCTAAAGCCGCACGTACGCACGGTCTTACTGCTTTTGTAATACGTTTTACTATTAATGTTGTTTTGGATCATTGCACTTGGACGAGGCCAATTAACAATCCAATCCAGCCCTAAATCAATGCAGAGACGTCCATATTTTAACACTTGAGTCTAAAGTCACTGCTGGGTGTACCATGACTCAGATACGGGAATTATTTGTACAATCGTGTCAGGTGTTTTTACAACAAGTGATATGGGTGCAAAGAATCACTTTCAGTTCAGTCTTTGTAGAAGAATGTCTTTACCTCAGAAGTCACTTAACATGAATTATTCAAGCATAAAAAGGTCTCCAACTTGTGAGATGAACCAGTGTTGAGTCAACAGCAAAAAATAGCAAAATTGAGCAAATTCTAAGTTTGATCTGTAGCCATTTGTTATTAACAGCCTGTGGTGAAAACGCATAATTTGTTCTCGTTTCTTTAGTCGATGACAACAGAATTAGACAGGCAGAAAAGTAGTATATTCTTACACCAATAAGGTGATTCTTCCGTGTGTCCCTCAAAAAATGAGGAAACTAGATAAGTGTAGGACCAAAAAAGAAGGGGTCAAAACGAAACATAAAATGAACAGTATCTGAAAGTAATGTCCTTAAGAAATGGGAAAGACCTGACACAGGAGGGCCGCTGGTGTTTCAGTTGATCCATCAACTGTTCACTAAAGTCTCATCAGAAATGCTTTCGGTGGAAACGGGGAGAGCAGGATGAGGTCTGCCAAATTACACAAGAACTAAACCGAAAATCAGTGGCAACAGGCCTTATGAAGTGATGAATCCAAATTTTGCATTTTTTGGTTTAAATCCTTGTCAGCGTGTACACATGAGGTCAAGACAGAAGTACAACAGTGGGTGTCTTCAGCACTTTCTAAAATTCTAAAGCCATTTCCTTTCTGCATTTTAGTCTGTGGTGCTGGGGAGCTTGTCAAAATTGATGTAATTATGAACACAGACAGTACAGTCAGATTTTGATCCACCGTGGAATACTCTGGAAAGTGATGTCTCCATTTTTTCAGCGTTGCAGCAATCCAAAAAACAGTGGCAATGCAGTAAAAGCATATTTGGATAGGAAAAAGCTCCCCATTGGAACACTAGCAGACATGGATTGGCCTCCCCAGAGCCTGGACCTCAAACATTATTGAAACAGTGTGGGATCATCTAGACAGAGCACGGAACAAAAGGCAACCAACATCCAAAGAAGAGCTCTGTCCTTCAAGCAGCTTGGAGAAGTATTCCTGAAGTGTACTTGAGAGCCTGCCTAAGAGCGTTCCAGCTGTGCTGAAGAACAAAGGTTTTCATTCCAAACGTTGACTTCAAAGCTTGTTAGAATTGCTTAAACTCTGTTTTTTTTTTTTTTTTCATATACGAAATTTTTATGCATGTTTGCACACTTTCCAAGCAAAATATAAGCAAATGGGATGTGGCTCAAGACTGAAAAATTTCCTTGTTGACTCACTTCTTGTAGACAGCAGGTTAACATCTTGAACATGTACTTTGTGTCTGCAGATATGGCCACAGAGAGCATTGTGGAGAATACCTGTTACTACAACGAGAATGTCACCTTCTTCTACAAAGTGGTGAATAAGACGATCAGTACAGAATGGAATACACGGGACTATGTTGTCATTGGACTGGGCTTGACAGTATGTGTTATTGTACTCCTGGCCAACTTGCTGGTGATGATAGCCATTTTTATGAACCGCCGCTTTCACTTTCCTATCTACTATCTCCTGGGGAACATGGCTGCAGCAGACCTGTTTGCAGGTATTGCTTATACCAACCTGATGTTGCACACAGGCCCGTGGACTAGAACACTTACCAAGGAGCAGTGGTATATCCGCGGCGCTTTGATTGACATCAGCTTGACAGCCTCTGTGGCCAACCTCCTTGCTGTCGCTGTGGAGCGACACCAGACCATCATCACCATGCAGCTTCACAGCACTATGCCAAAGCGGCGTGTGGTGCTGCTGATAGTATGCATCTGGGCCACAGGTATCATCATGGGCCTGGTGCCGACATTTTGGAACTGTGAGTGTGATCTTAAGGACTGCTCCACCCTTGCGCCGCTCTACAGCCGCCGCTTCCTTATCTTCTGGGCAGTCCTCAACCTGCTCACGTTCTTCGTTATGGTGGCCGTGTATACTCGAATCTTTATCTACGTGAAGAACCAAAGTAAGAACACGTCTCAACAAGTCACAGAGATCCGACAGCAGACTGTTGTCAACCTGATGAAGACGATATCCATGGTCCTGGGTGAGGAGCTGTTTACTTTTCGGTCAAAGGGGAAGTTAGAATAGTTTCATTTCTAATAAGCTTGAAAATTTTAGCACTCTTAAATTACTAACGTACATGGTACAAAACTTTAACATACTGATAGTCGTTGGCGGCATTATTTTCAGATTTTTGCAGGAAAGCGTAGTGACTTTTATTGAATTTCACTTCATATGAACTTTCAGTATTGTTTTCTGTAGTAAAGCTGACTATTGTTGATGTGCTTTATCTCACTGATCTTAGTTATAATGCTTGGCGTGTGTACACCCAGTCATTTATCAACCAGTTTTGCAGCTCTTGTTTGTCAGATCATACCCGATTACTGCTGATCTTTTAAGCTGATAGATTGTTAGGATTTCCGAGTAAAACTGACATGGATTTATCGTCATAATACAACTTTTTCTTTAGGTGACTCATCTCCTGAGCATAAATGTGTTCTCTCTGGAAACTAGCCTTGAAATTAAGCAAGCAAGCTACCAGTATGACCCAAGAGACTCTGCTGTGTCATTACGTCCCATCTTTAAATAAAGTTTACTTCCAGTTCTTATCAACAGTTTGCATCTCTGCAGGTGCCTTTGTAATTTGCTGGACGCCTGGCCTCGTGACTCTCTTACTGGATGGACTGTTGGGTAAAGAGAGTCATGCCAACCGCTATGAGAAATACTGTTTGTTCATAGCTGAGTGCAACTCTCTGGTCAATCCTATCATCTATTCCCTACGGGACGACGAGATGCGGACGACGTTCAAGTGGATCCTGTGCTCTCTGTGTCGGAGAGGTGTTCATCAGCAGAGGCAACTTTCACTTGTCAAGAGGGGCACATCTCTGCGAGAGGTACCCTCACTTATTAGGGTGTTGACCCGGTGGTGCAGAATACAACCTGTGAAATGTAAACCTTAGACCAGGGGTGGCCAACTCCAGGCCTTGAGAGCCGGTGTCCTGCAGGTTTTAGATGTGTCCTATATCCATCACAGCTGATATAATGGCTAAATTACCTCCTCAACATGTCTTGACGTTCTCCAGAGGCCTGGTAATGATTTAGGTGTTTTGACCCAGGGTGACATCTAAAACCTGCAGGACACTGGCTCTCGAGGCCTGGAGTTGCCTGCCTTAGACCTTCAAAGCACTTTAAAAAAGGTACCCCAAAATAGTCTTTGGGGCATCTTTTTCAAACTTGAGATTATTCTTCATTGCTTCAGGTTTCATTTGTGTCTCTCACATTTCTTCACAATGAGTCATGAGAGCTTTCACTTTCCATATCTGCTCTATATGTAAGTGAACAATATGATGCATAAAAGTATTGTGTTTCCTGTCCTGGGCCTTGTTCCACAAAGCAGGTTCAGCAAAATCAGAGTGTAACATTGAGCTAAGAGGTTTGATCATAGTTGGTTCAATTCATTGTATGTTCATATGACAACCACTTTCTGATGCCAAGATTCACCATGGGAATGGGTAGAAGATGAGCCTCCATTTTTATTTCAATATCAGGGACGGCTTGAGGTTCAGTATCTTACCCAAGGATATATAGACTGGAGGAGTCGGGGATCAGGCCACCAACTCTCTGTGTGACATTGCCGAAAAACAAAAAAGTGATCAAGAGTCATCTGCTCAGTCCTCATTTACATAAGATTTACATTTTATTTTGAAATCTAATTATTTAGCTGTAACCTGTAGAAACTTGAGATAAAGATGTGGCTCAAACACATAAGATGCAGTTTAATGATATAGGACAGACCCAATAAGATTTTTTTTTTTTTCATTGATTTCTTATTTCCTTTAGGTTTTTTTAATTTTAGGTTTCCTTTGTGTAAATGTTGATGACGTTTACATTTCTGTGAATTTAACTGTATTTAAATCTACAAAGATACTATTTCCTTTCTGTAACCTGGATTTTAAAAAACTAAAGTACAAGACTGTCTTTAGTTCACACATCATCACCAACACAACATACGAGTCTTCACTGAACAGTATTTTGCCTCAAAAGCTTCATGCAGATTGGGGATGGGATTCAGAGAGAGCCTGCCAGTGAGCAGGTTAATTTCAGTCATTTACTCAAAACTGGTACTCTTCCCGAAACAGAAGACCAAGTGTTTGTCTCATCCAAGTATTAACAAACAAGAGTTTTCACTAAACCTGCTTCCTGGAAAAGGCCCCGATTAGATACAGAATTGTTTTGAATCTTTAAACACCACTGGGTAAAAGTGGTTAAAGGAAAGACTGAATTAAACTGCTAAATGTAAATTGAGTCCATTTTCACTATAAAATATTATACCTCTACCTTGAAATTCATAAGATATTTCTTCTGTGTCATGTTACCTTCAAATTATTTTCTTTCCTACAGGAAACACTTGGCTCTGGCCTGAAGTCAGAAGCCGAGGCCTTGTGTTAGGACGACATCAAGAAAGACAACGCCTGGTCAGTGACTAGGTTATAAACGGCAGATCAAAAATAATATAAGTAAGATGTATAGATCAGTTAATTCTTCTAGATATCAGCCAAATTCTGCAAAGCTCACTTTTCCATGTTTGCTTTTTGATACTGAATTAAAGGCTGAACAAGACTTTTTTTTTTTTTAAGTCTCCACGAGACTAACAGAGTCACATAATCATCAGATGGTGCAATCTCTCCTTTTATTACGTTTGACTATCACAAGAGCATTTGTGACAAATTATAAAATGAAACACTTCTAAAATCTGAAATCAAATACTGAAGGGGGGAAAAAAAAATCACACTAAATCATTTTATTAATTTTCTAATAAGAACACTACAATTTGTCATATTCTTCCTTTTTGTTTTACTCTTTCTAGAACAATTCTAAAGTTGAGGTATAAAAGGAGTTCATACAGACTCACAAGTCTGAAAACAGTGGGGGTTATATACAAGAGAAATGGAAAGACAGAGGTAGAGAGAGGGGTAAATACAAGGGAAAGAAGGGAGATACAAATTGACTAATAAAAATCAAAGAAATCAAAGGGTTAAGAAGCCATTTGGTGCTGTGGAAGTCATTTAGTCACTTACAGAATCCAAACAATCATAAGGCTGAAATGTGTCAAGGAGACATACAGTGTATGTATCAACATTACAGGATTTGGACAACTGTATTTAGGCTATATTCACTGTTTATGGTGTGGCACACAAAAACAGATTTTCAGATTAAATGTAAAACAATTTTTTTCTAACAAAAAACCTGAAAAGCATCGACTCCTGTTTGCAAATTTGCTGTCTGTATTTTTTCTTTTTATTAATAATGAAATTACAGGTATCTACATTTTAGATATAACCGAGAGGCTTATTACAGCTCAAAAGAACCAATTTTGTATTTAAACTGCAATTTTCTGTTTCTTGGAATGTTTTGAGAAGGTAAAAATTTCACCAGAATTGGGGAATATTTGGAAAAGTGACTGTATAACTGAGGAAACTTGGAGGAGATTAAGAAAGGAAGTGGATCCATAAATCAATACATGAAATAAAATGTTTATAACCTCAATTCATACAGTTATCTTTCCACAGCACCAAATACAATTACATTTGTATAGCATACATTTCAACCCAAGTATGTAACAAAAGACCTAAATAATATTTTAAACTGATAGTTATTGTGAATCCTGTGATACAAAGGCCAAAAATAAACAGGCATTTCAACCAAACATCAAAACTTATATACGAAAAAAAAGAAAAATTACTGAAACATTACACAAACTGTACAGTGACATCCATTACAACAGGTAGAAAAAGGCGGGGGCGTGATAATTTGGTGTGGCAATAACATTATAAGATACAGTCATATGAACTGCAATGAGTAACAAAACGAGTACTCAGGGTTATCACATGTGATCAGCGTTCAAGCTCAAGTTTTGTTCTGTAACATATGCTTCAACAAAGTCTTGACTGACACTTAAATCTTCATAAGGCTTTACCTTACTATCAAAAATGCTTTGTTATTCACATAATAGCTAATGTATAAAATAGTTCCAAACAATGAAATCACCCAAAATGTTGCAGGGTTGTCTGAAATGTGGGTTAAGAGTTTTGCTACACCCAGGACTGCCTCTTTTTTGGTAACAGAGGAGAGAGAGAAGCCCTTGCCCAATTGGCCATAGAACTAAAGATAAAATAATTGTAGTTTTACCAGAAGGTATTAAAAGATGGGTAAAAAGGAGAGCATTCCTTCTATGCTCACAATCAAATTACAAGTGTGATACGACACTACTCGCCCCACAACGAAAAGCCCCAAAAATCAAATCAACTGAGGCATGACAACACCACACAGAGAGACACAGATACAAATATAATTCCCTCCTCTCCTCAAACTGAGAAGGTGGCTGTGCACCAACTTTAGAGACACAGAGTAGCATTATTACATTACTGAACTTGATATTTTTGGTTTTGGTACAACAGAAGGTTGTAGTGTGTTGCCTCGGGCTCACAAGCTTAAATGTTTCAAGATTGGGGGGAGATCTCAGCTGAACCCCATCTGGTGTGTGATCGGCTGGTGGAAGCACCCAGTCTCTATGTTTACAAAGGTCAGAGGGCACCAGCCATTTTGACTAAGACATCCCAAGAACACTGTACACACGCCCACAGAGACACACACATCATAGCAATACATGATGCACTTTTTTCCTTTTTGGTCTGACTGTAATAATTATACCCTTTATTTTTTGTTAATAAAAATGAAGCTAAAAACTCGGAAGGTTAAATGAAAACAATATCACGCCTAGAAGTCCTACATGCATGGAAGACAGTCACGTTTCTAAATTCATGACACGTTTTGTCCCAATAACACATCAATGCCCCAAAATCTTTCCACCCTTCTTTTATCGTCATTTAGATGCTTTATTGAGCAAATTTTTGGTGGTGGCTGGTGCATTCTTGGTGAAACAGCATTAGAAAATAGCCTACAATCAAATAAACTAGTGGACAGAAAGCAAGAAGTAAAGTCTACAAGCCATCTACCAACACCCTCTATTGGTTAGCAACAAAAAGGGCTATTAGTTACATCCACTCAACCAAAGATGTTGTCCTCGCTCTGCCCTTTCCTCCTCTTCTCATCAGCCCTATTATCACTTGTCCTGCCTGGTTTAGAACAGTGATCCCCTTAACTACCCTTTTACAGGTAGAGACACCCATAACAAGGATGCTAACTTTTGTGCTTGACACATCTTTTATGTCAGCTCACTATGAAAACGACTGTAAAGTTGCAAAGTGTATGTTGTGGAAGGGTCTTTGAAATCTCCAACAGAATGAAACATCGAGCTATAAGGACCAGAAGATACAGTAGTCTCTTGTATTGAGTTGGCAGAAGGTGATCTTTGAGGAAGAGATGTGTTGACGACTACTGGGGCAGCACTTTGGTACGAGCAAGGTGAGCAGAGCTCCCTGGTGATCCGTATCAACAGTTTGGCTGTCAAATGCCAAGGCTTCAAGAGATACAGGCAATCACACACAGTTTTCCAAAGCAAAGGGTTAAGTGCAGAGGTCAACAGCACGTGAACAAACTGTGTAAGTACTGTGTGAAGTTAACGTGCATATACACATAATGTACAGACATCATGATCATCTACACAGCTGGGTGAGTGGTCTTCAGAAATGTCCTTAACAGAACATGTTTTCTCAGCCTCAGTAAACTCCAACCCCCTTTCAAATCTGAGTTACGAAGCGTTGAGCATTAGGGTAGAGCTGAATTCAGAAGAGCTGGATGGAGAAGTCCTCCTAGCTACTGTTCGGCTGTCCTGTGTTCCAGCACAGTGTGTTTATGAAATGCAAATAAAGCCTTGTGTGGCCATCTAGTTGAGTAGAGAGACAAGAAAGTAGTGAAGAGAAAAAAAATAAAAAAAATAAAAGAGGGACTGAAGATGGTAGTCAGAGCAAACTGCGGTGGGACTGAAGTGATGGCAGGAAGAGCCAACAGATCAGTTGGAGGTGTCGGAGTGGACACTGCCAGGAGGACCGGGAGGGGAGGTAACCGAGGGGAGGTTGGTGGTGTCCTGCCAGCTGTTAGCCTGCAAAAAGCAACAGAGGAAGGATTCTACATGAGAAGGGAGGCTTTAATAAATAACAGTCTTAATCAGCTACATTTGTGCTTAGTAATCAAAGGATGCATCCGCAAGACAAAATGGTTCAAATAATAGGGAACCACTTTGTTAAAACACAGTACTGCTTCTTCCTGGTTTTCTGAATGTACTAAGTGAAGGTGCTCCAGAACATGTTTACAGTAACTCATGTTTTAGCATGTTTTAACTTGCAGTGGGTATTACTGAAGTAATAGAAGTAAAGTTACCAACCTGTTTCTAAAAAAAAAACAAAAAAACAATAGGTGCACAACATCAAAACAGAACACACTGATTTGTAAAACATTTAGTTTATGTACAAGTTCAAAACTGAAAAGAACTCTCCACACACACATTTGCAAAAATCAATAAATCCTGGCACATACAACCCCACATTTAATTTAAACTGGAGGGCAAAGCAAAATTTCTCTCTTTCTCTGCTGTTACTTTTCCTGCATGAAGCAAAGTTTATTTTTCTTCTTACATTCATATATTTAGTCATTTTCTTAAGTAACCAAGTCAAAAGCTAAATGAACTGAAACTCAGCGAAAGTGCTTGGATTTCATCGACCTTTAAAAAGTTGACAATTTCAACACAATTAAAATGTTCTATACTTTAAGAGCACTGTACAGAGCAGTATTCTGGCATCCCAAATACTTATTGATCAGCTACACCACATGAGTTTAAGTTGGTACTCACATCCAGGCGATGAGGGGTGTAGAGGCCACTACCTGACAACTCCTCATAGCCGCCCGTCAGGTGTGTAGCAGGGTGCAGGGTATCCACCTGTCAGAGACAAAACATTTAAAACACACACACACACACACACACAGTTTAGCACAATTAGACAAATATTTTTTCCACAGACTGACCAGTGAAGTTACAGCATCCACAAACCTCTCCTGTAGGCATCAGAGCCAGACTGCACTACTCAAAAATACAGCTCATCTACTACCCTGTTTCAGTGCGAGCACTAAAATTTGCAGCTCACCAATCAGCTTCATGACTCTCCATTAAACCACTTATGGTCTGAATGAAAGACTGCAGCTGAAGCCAAAATGCAGTGCTTTACCTCCTCTTATACTGGTGCTTAACAGAAGAAATCTGTGGATCCATCCAAAACAACACAATGACAATTCTTTTCACAGACAAGTAACAAGAACAATTCACTTTAATAAAATCTCTTCTGCATCTACGTGAGTATGGTGCACATTACTCCTATGAATTCAACACCTTTTCCAAATGCTAGGATTCTGTATAAAATGCAAATAAAACAGAATGCAATGATTTGCAATAACTAAAATTCTATACAAGTGAAAGTTGAATGAAGATTACATATCACATACCGTACTATAATTTGGATTTTTATTGACACGTGGTAACAAAATGCAGTAAAATGACAAGAAAACCACAAACCAATAAATTTAATTGGCAACAGGTCCCTTAACAGGATATGTGCATGTTTGGAGCAACATGTGCTTCGATCTAAGCAACATCCTTTTCAAGGAAAGCCTTGCTTATTTTGGAAAGACAGTGCCAAGCTACATTGTGCATGAATTACTACAGCTTGGCTCCATAATAAAAGAGTCCAGATGCTGACCTGCCCTGCCCGCAATCCAGATCTGTTACCCATTGAAAATATCTGGCAGAGAACAAACAAAAAAGTAAAATAAAGAACACCCTGAAATGTTGAGCAACTGAAATACTAAAGCAAGCAAAAATGGGTAAACAATTCCTTTTCAAAATTACAGTAACTGGAGAAGAGGTGATGCAATAGTCACAAACATGCCCTGTGTCTCCGTTTCAGCATCTGGCTTGCTGGTTTTGTACAATTCTCAATTAAATATAAGGCTTAAATTGTCTGCTGATATCTGCATTCTGTTTTGTTTACATCTTACATAGTGACCCAGTGTTTTTGGAAATGGGTTTTATATAAAGACACGGGATTTTTGGAACACTTGGGGGAAAACAAGGACTGAAAAAGGCAGGATACTGTGACACACTTGGAAATATAGGACAACCTAGACATAGAGAAACAGATGATTAACCAGAGGGACTACAGGATCAATCCCCAGACCTGGTTTGTAGGAATATACCAGCTGCATGAAGACAACTTTGTGAAGAACCCCGATGACCCCACACAGACGTTTCCATATTGAACCGGGTCCTATGCTTGCTGAACATGTGACACAAACTACATTACCTACATTCTCATGAGTAAAGGCAAATGCTCCTCAAGGTTTCCTCTACATAGGTCTGTGTGGAGCAGGAGTCAGTGGTGATAAAGACAAAGCCAAGGGGAGGAAATGAGGAGAGGTCAAAAGGAGCTAGCCTAAGGGAAGATATCTGGGGAAGTGGGGTGGCTAGGTTAACAGCATTGAGGGCAACTGCCAACTCCACAGCTGTCCTCAGTGCATACCTGTAGAGAGGGGGCGATGTTGAGACCCTCCCCGTTGAGGGAACGTAGGCCAAGGTAGGTGTCGCTTGTGTGAGATAAGCTGAATGACCCTGGTGACCCTGCAGGCAATGTATATCCAATAGCCAATCAGCCTCACCACGTTGTAATGGACTCAAAAGGTTACCATTGCTCAGGGACAACGCTTTGAAAATCAGGGTCATTGTTACTATTTTCTCATATTTATAAAACCTAAAGGAAGATTCTGCGCAGAATATGCTTCAGTGTCCACTAACTGGTGAAACAGCAAAACATCAACACAAATACCTTTTTGTTTTGAAATAAGTCGGTTTTGTTATCTCCATGTGTAATGCCTGCACTAAACCGGTATTTCCACACCACTACAACGGGGCCTTTTGAAAATGTAGCTGACTCAGTTTCAATGTGAAAACTCCAGGATTGCGTTTTAGTCCAGATGGCCTGAAATTTAAAGCTCTGGAAATGATGGCACAGACAGCTGCATTTATCCTGGGTCTTATTAGATGAAATTAAGACGAAATTAAGCCAAAAAGCTAAAATTCAAAAGGAAAATGTATGTTTCAGTACACAGAAGCCCCAAGAAGGGAAGCGATTAAATGAACCAGAGCCTCTACCTAAAAAGGTCCACTTAAGCTGCTTGCATATATAAGTTTAAAGATTTTTGTAGACCACTCCAAAAACAGTTCAAGAAAAAAAACGAATTAATTATGGGGGACCATTTGTGTCAGTGTATCAACAACATCAAGTATCCTTTCTAATATGCTCTACATCCCTGTAACATTAAAGTCGCAATGTAAGTATTATCATGTCAGGATCTCTGTACGTAAATTAACTATGAAAGTAAAACATTCAACATAGCACAGGTCTGAATACACAAAGTCACAATGACAGACTGTAGATATTAATTGAGAATCTTGCACATAAAATTTTGTACAACACTTCAGACAGGTGAGTGCTCAGAGCCGCATTTTATAAGCTACAGTTTAGTGCTGTCACTACTAGAGTTACGAAATGTACCATCTACATTTTACATGTGTGTATGGATGCAGTCCCATATCTACATACAGAACATATCATTAAAAAATACAAAACTATAAAAAAATACAGCAACTGGGGTAATAATGCATTATGACATAATGCATAACATAATGCATTATGTCATTTCAATATTGCTTACAGAGCATAATATCCTGTAAGTACTGTGGCTCATTCCATTAAAAGGTAATTTATGTTTGAATGACAAAATATAATTACTTAAACAGATTGGTGAAGGAACTGCTCAGAAAATATAAGCATATAGTTTCTTGTAAAATATTTGGATAAGCAAGGTTCTCTAGAAAAATAAACAAGCTGAAGGTATGTGCCCAAATTTTCCAAATGGTACACGCAATTTTCTGTTTCAGAATGTAAAAGTGCATACTATGGTACTGCCTCAATACTGATTATTATAACTAATGTAATATGTACCAGCATACATCCTTCTTTCTATGAGATCATTTCAGAGAACTACAAACACTTAGCGTGGTAGCTGAGTGAGACCTTATTTGCAGTTTGCATTGTGAATTTTCCTGTGAACCATTATGTCAGTCCACTATACACTCATCCTGTGGTCCAGTTATGCAAGGACAAAAGCTTATACAAAGGAAGAGAAGCTTGTTAACAAGAAAGGTGAAGCCTATGTGGGTAGAAGAAATGGAGCATGCGGTACCTGAGTTGGGCGTTGCCGGAGAATTAGCCTGGCTGGCCTGCGCCGACACATTGGCCGCATCCACCGCTGTTTTAACTGCGTAGAGGTTCGCTTCCTCCTGAAACTTACCAATATTCTTCTTGTAGCGTATTCTCTTGTTGCCAAACCAATTAGAGACCTGAGGACCAGACAGATGTCATTTGCATTTATTTTATCTGCCGTGCATCTCATCTGTTGGCACCCCCACCCCACAATTGTTTAGTTATTCAGTCTTATTTTACTTATATAAAAAAAAAAATGAAGGGGTTTTAAAAAATAAAGTACAGACACTGGCTAAAATCCTGGATTCAACAACTATATATTCTCTACTCTATACCGGATGACAGTTATGTTGGCAACTCACCTGAGACACAGTGATCCCACACTTCTTGGCAAGTTCCTCCTTGGCTTCCTCACTTGGATAAGGATTAGAAAGGTGGGAGTAGAAATACTCGTTCAGCACCTCCGTAGCTTGCTTGTTAAAGTTACGCCTCTTACGTCTGAGAGACAGAGAAAGAGAGACAGCAAGATAATGACCAGTATCTTTGGAATGTGCATCTGATAAAACAATCATTTCTAAGTGCTCAGATCATTTCTGCCCACAGGAAGGTAACCAGCCAGTCAACACACAGATGATAAACATATCATGTAGACCCACACAGACAGACCTGGCATCAAGGAAGCGTGAGCGCAAAATCATCACAGCCTCACAGGTGCTCTGTTTGAGCTGCATCTGAATGGAGCTGAACTTGCGGTGGATTATGGCCACCATGCGCTCAATCTCCTTGGGAGAGATGGGCCGTGTGCGAGACTGCTCTCTCAGCAGGTTCATTACATGGTTGGTGAACTCACTACAGGCCTGGAACAAAGAGAGAGGAAGGGGGAGAGAGAGCAGTTGAATACTATTGTCAAAAGAAGGACAAAGCACAAATTCTGCCCAGTGCCAGTGGGATCGTTTTGAAGCATCTGCTTTCAGACTACTCTGAATAACAATATAGCATCTGATAATAGAAATTATTAAACAAATACATTCTTTTAAAACAAATATTAGATACTTTGTTCCCGTTTTAATTCCTGTACATTTTTTTTCCATGTGGACCTAAAATATATAATTTCCCAGTGCACTAGAAAATAAACTGGACACTTCTTTTGTCCATTGTACTTTTTGTCTATTACACATCACTAGCCCTGTTGAGCAGTTTCACAAATGTATCTTGTTTTTCCAGTTATCTTGTGTTTGACCAAACAACAAACAAAGTCACTTTTCATCTTACGGTCAAGGGTTGCCAAAATGTTTTTGTGTACAAGCAAGGAATGTGTCACATATGCATGTCCCCGATGTGCATTCAGCACAAACCTGCTCATACTTCTCCAGCTCGGAATGATATATCTGGCGGATCTGAGCAAGCTTGGCTCTGTAGTCAGAGTGTTCGATGCTGCTGTCGGTGGGGGAGCCTCCGGCTGCCGCTGCAGCTGCAGCCGCTGCAGCCGATCCGCCGCCCTTTTCTGGTCCTGACACACCCTCCGCTAGCAACATATTGTCCAGCCGCATGATCTGAGGATCTGGGGGGTCCTCCTCCTGCACACCTCGTATACTCAGAACTGGAAAAAAAGAGAGACAACTTGATTTAGGCAGATAAGGTTAGCATTTACCTGTCTGAGAAAACACCTGCTAAACTACTCATCTAGATCTAAGAAAACCTGTTGGTTAAAAAACAAACAACAAAAACAAAAAACCAAAACATACACACACACGCAGAGAAAAAGACAGACCATACAATTTTCCAAGCGAAGGTATACTGCTGTGGCTTATAGGAATGCACAGAAAGACAATAAATCATTGCTAAAATTCAAAGAAGTGGAGTACTGTCAAAACCCAGTCACAAGTTTCTCCCCTGAGTCATTGCTATGAATGCCTGACTGAATTCTCAATAAGCCTGAACTTCCTCTAAACCAACAGCAGAGGGCAGTGTGGTCCCTCAGTGGCACACTGCCAGAGATAAGGGCATGAGGCATGGGACCAGTAATAGGAGTGCATGTGCTGTCACTATGAGCCCCAGTGGCCATAAGTATAGTTATCAGTCGCTGCTCTCCACCACTGTATTATACCAGGACCTCTGTCAGCCTGCAGCCATGCTCTCATCTCTCTCTCCCCCTCACACATGTGCACAAACACATACTCCCTTAAAGACACCTTTGTTACAGAAAAGTTTTAACTCCAGACAACCATCTTTTCTTCAGAGCCTGGAGCTTTTAACACTTAACTAAATTCAATTTCACTTGCCCCCCCTTTTTTTTTTTTTGCCTCTCAATCATTCAACTTCAAAAAGTAAGAGTAGAAACTTGGCACCACAATTTAGTGTCTCGAGCTGAACGTTTACAAACTGTTACATTTTTTGGGAAATCTTATACATTATATTAATAACAATGCATGAATTAAAGAATCGTTTTTTATTGCTGTGATTAAAAGACTGAATTTAAAAAATAGCTATGAATGCCTATTTGACTTTAAAAGGAAAGAAAAAAAATTCTGACAGCAATTTTTTCTCTTTTAATCTTTTGACCATAAATGATTTAAAAAAATAATAAAATAAAAATACATTTTCTGTTTCCCATCACTTTAAAGTGAATATTCTGACTGTTGGTCACAGAAATCAAGCCATTTAAGGACATAAAAAAAAACAAAACAAAACAAACTAAGGAATTATGATGCCCCCCCCCCTCCCCCTCCCTACTACTAATAATCTAACACACCTAAGCTTTTGCACAATAGTAAAATAAATACATTTAAGGTCATATTTACATTATGATTGGAAATATTGATTCATAGTCACATATAAAACCAGTACTGTAACCACATTTATGTTGATCTTTGTAACTTGAGACTAAAGGAAATAAAAAAAGAAAAAATTGAAAACAGACAAAGTTAACAGGGATTTTAAGGGAGACAGATTCTACGAGTATGGATGATGAGATTAATCCCTGTGGAAACTGAGTGGCATTAGGCACTTGTCTTCCTTAAGGATTACTCTAGTTTGTCAGCGTATCAAAGTTCAGTTCTTATGAGACCTGTGAGTCTTCACTTGGAGTCCTTAAGGGTCGCAATGAAAAACAAGTTTTCCGCAGCTGTGGAGAAGTCAAAGCTAACAAATGACTGGAGCTGTAGTGTAGGGTAACAGATGTGAAGAAATGAGGACAAAAACAGTTTTGCTTAAATTTTCCTAGTGCAATGGAGCAAATGAGTTTTTTTCTTTTTCATAACTTCTTTTTGATAAATGAGTCTGTTCCACCATTTTACAAGGCCGTAAGTAGTCAAGTGTCCAACTTTCCCCATTTCCTACCCTTCACTTTTTTTATTTCTTGTTCCTTCTTGCCTTTTTCTTTTCCCTCTGCTTAGGTCTCTTCTCTCTCCAAGGCACATTCCTGCTCTGCTGCTCCCCCATCTCAGGGCTCAGGAATGCAGCAGACCCAGCCGCCTGAACTAATGACCCTGATTCGCCCATCTCTTTCCCTCCTCTTTTTCCTTTCTTTTCTGTAATTCACAAAAGAACTGTACAATTTTTAGCTATGTGAAGTATATCCAAATTGCATATCAATGGCAAGATCTTTTTTGTATCCAATATATTAATGGTTACGCAATTATTAGTGTTGCCTAAGTTTTATGTATGCCGATTATAACTACATAACTATGTGTAGTTATGCTTTGTTCTTTACAGCCCATTTACAGAGATGTACAACTGACCTACAGTTAAGAGGGCAACTGTGGCTCTTGAAGCTTCTCACCTCTTTCCCCCTCCCTTTTGCCCCCACTCATTATGGCCCCCCAGCTGTAGCCTAATGCCCCTACATTCCCCTAATTACTCCAATTAAGCTGTGATTATCCAGAATCACACTCATGCACAGTCTAGTGGTCTAGTGGTATTATAGCATCTGTTAAGATGACTTAAGATACCACGCAGAAGAGAACACCATATGACACAGACACATATAAAGACTTTTTAAAGAACAATTTAAAAAGTCCTTGACTCTGAAGCCACCAATACAACTCGTGAAAACTAGAAACAACAAAGAGTCTTCAGGTCTGAAAGCTGGCTGCATATTAGAACCTAAACAGTGTTTCCATTTGATCAAATGTATCCCAATACCCGACTGGGTCTATTACCGAGAAGCTAAAACTCAGCAGTGCTATAAGTAATAGTACTTAAATTCACCTTTAAAAATAAATAAATAAAAAAAATAGTAAGACTGCTTAAGGCCCATACGCTGCATTCAAAGATCTTAGAAATCACACTATTATGCACACGTTACCAGCCAAGCTGGGCGGTGTGGTATTGAGAGACGAAGCGAGCAACACATACTATGAAATATTCAGGGTATCCAGCTGGGCTTTCACTGCATACATAATCATTCTCATTTCTGCACAGCCAATGTGGAAATGGTGTGCTGTGCAGACAACACAATATATGAAGTGCTGCAGGTAAGGGTGAACAACCTAACCAGTAGTATAGTGCTGTACATTAACTGTAATGCCTTCCACACATAGGCATAGATAAGGCTTAAACGTAATCAGTATATCATTGCTCAGCTCACAGCACAAGCTTTATCCTTGTCTGTCTTTTCCCTCGCTAGCATCCCCTTTTTCACTCCGTCTCCCCAACACACGTCCCCTCCCCCCTCCCTTTCAGCGCACCCCCCTCCCCACACACACACACCTCCCCCAGTGCCCCCCGCCCCCCACCCCCCTGTTCTCCATTTCAGTCGAGTTCTCCATGTGAGCCGCAATCCCTCATGCTGTCAGCCCCCCCCCTCCTTCTCCCTCTCTCTGTAGACAGACAGGATTAGCATTTTAATTGCATCAGCTCCCTTGGGTATTCTCAGCCTTTCACTGGGAGAGAGCAAGGGAGCGGGAGAGAGAGGAGGATAGAGAAGGGGAAAAAAGGGGGAAAAAAGGTAAGGAGAGAGGGTAGAAGGAGAACCAAGGAGAATTGAAAAAAGGAGTCACAGGAGAAGATATGTGTGCGGGAGAGAAAGAGACAGGGGCCACAAATATACAGAATCCAGAGTACAGACGTGCCAGAGCGAGGGAGCCAGAAAGGGAAAAAAAAAGATAGGACTGTGAAAACATCAGTTTTTCCTTTCATTATACGGAATTCAGATAAAGAGAATGGCCCATAGAAAGACTTTTTTTTTTACAATGAAAAAAAAAATTGCTACATAAATATGCTAATTTGACTTATAAAAATGCAGAAACAAATCTCAGCACCAGCTCTGGTGTTATGATAGGTAAACCCATGTATAAAAGACTAAAACTGACTGCAAGTGATAAAATAGCACCTGCGTAATAGAAATACAGTGAAGGGAAATAAGAAGTGGGGCCAATCTATCTATTAAACTACTCTTTCACTATTTTATCAGATGAAAAATAAACAAAACCTCTGGGAAAAATAAACTTCTTCTTGAACTACGCATGACACCAAACGGCAGCTGAAAACCCTCCAGGTTGACTGATTTGATTTCCACAAATTATTTATTAAAAAAACAACAACAACAGTACGGTAAATGCAAGTTTGATGAAACTGGAACAGACTCCTAATTATCTTTTGTTGGATGAGTTTGACTTTCATTCTGCAGAAAAAGAGTGAAATGTACTATTTAAGAGACCAGTTTTCAAACCATGGAATGAAATGCAAACTTTCTATTAATTAAATCCAGATCCATATATGCAATATGACAAATAGTTACCTGGATGCCAAAAGCAATTTCATTACAAAACCATAGGTTATAATGATTAATGTCAATATTCACACCTAACCTCTTCTCTGTGTGAACCATTTTGATTTACCATGCAATTTTGGTAAAAATATGGGTTGCTCAAAAAGGAAAAATAAGACCTGTGTGAACAAAACTGTGCCTTAGGCAGGTTGAAAAATATGGCACTCAAACTGTAAAACTAGCATTAAAAATGAATCACTTCCCTGCTGAGTTTTATGCTAAATGGGCGATGTATAAAAAAACAAAAGTGAAAAGTGTAGTTTTACACAAAAATATTCAGTTATTCTTCTAAAAAGGAAACGTTTTGTACTATTCAGTAATTTTAAGTTTTTTCAGATACAGGATTAATCCTGTAATCGAGTGAGTGATGGCATTTTTTCCATTAGGTCATATGTTACACTTACCTCAAATTTCTTCACAACTAAATTCAAATAAACCCACAACAGCCTTTGACAAGACATGGATATGTTTAATGCAACTAGAGCTATATTTGACCAAAGAAAACCAGACTTGACCAAAACTGAACCTACTCCTCAATTAAGTGTGCTCTACCTGATTTATTTACAACAATATTATTACAATTAATATTTCAGTCTTGGCATTTTATACTGAAGTTGAACTTACCAGTTTATTTAAAAGTTTACACTTGGCTTTTTGATCATATTAACAAAATTCATCACACCATTGGCTTCTTTGACAAATTGTGAATTGTTTGGATTTAAATCAAATTATTGATTAAGTAAAAGGAATTAACTACATTTGAAGCTAATACAAAGAGCTAGATATAAGTTGTGAAAACATTAAAATATTAATAATAAAAACCATTCGTC